TTACAGTGACTGGCAGCCTTGACACCGTGCTGGCCACGCCCATGGGCCACACCTTAACGACAAGAGACGGCTGGTATTTTGACGTAGCTGGTGTTGGATTGCTGTACTTTCTTCCTTCATAGGAACGAATGCCAGCAATTTGGAGCTTGCAGTATGATGCAGTGCAGTTGTACACCATAGCGCAAAAAAAAAAAAAAAAAAAACATTCTTGGAGAGTACTGACAAATCACTGAGAACCTTGTGTGTCTGCATATGTTTCTTCACATTGGACTTTTGGGCGAAGGCTCGACCGCAAACGATACATTGAAATGGTTTCTCTCCTGTATGACTGCAAAAAAAAAGTAAAAAAGTTGTGAAAGTGAATTTTTTTTTGTAATAAGAGTATGGTCCAGCTTTCGGGGAGTAGCTCACCTCCTAATGTGCTGCTGAAGGTCAAAGTTTTTGGAGAAGATTTTGTCACAGAAATTACACTTCAGCTTCGGTCCTTTGGATTTCAGCGACTCTGCTGAGGAAAATCAAAAGTAGCAAAGATTCGCATAATGCACCCCTAAGTTTTTACTGCATGACATGTCTATGTGATGTCTGTTGAGTTATTTGAAGCAGCATCAGTGGGACAGTGTTCCTCAAAAAGCGGCCTCTGCTCAAACAGACACCTTACCTCAAATACGGGCCGAGTGCATCATCCACAAATAAAATCTGCTCCTCAAATAATCTCCTTTTCACACAGAATGACAAGTGGCACCACTATTTACTCTTACTTGCAAACCTATAGGCTTAATTATTTTTGTCAAAAAATGCCCCCCAAAATAACAACTTAAAAATAATAATTACAGCCCCCCCCACCACTTAAACAGACACATACATACCTACGACACCATCTGCACTTTTTTTGCTACTTGTTGGTCGTTTGGGGCCAATGAGTTTTTCAAACTCGCCCAACTCTGTTGTGTTGGTGGTGATGCTGCACGTCTTTGTTTTGATGCCCAGCTTTCCCGGACTGTAGACAGGAGGCGTGGTGAATGATTGGCTCTCCACACACTGACTGGGCACCTATGCGACATAACAGTGTCATGACAGCAAATCATTCACTCAAAATCTCTTATACTTAATCAATGAAATGGCACTTCATTTGTTTGTGTAACACAAACACAAAATTGTGACTATCGGTGCTCAGTCTAGTGGGACAATTTATGAATGAAATAATTTGTGGTATATTTATAGCTTCAACGATTAATATAGGCAATTATAAACATTTTAGGAGGTTGGCATCAATTACTTGACTACTTTTCACAATTCCACGCTGTGTTCAGACGGGCTGTACCTAATCTTGTGCCAAGTAAGTCGATTGCACAGGTCGCCCACAAGAGCACACCGAACCCTTTTAATACCATTGTTCTCCACTCACTTGTACAGGATGGAATGGATGCAGATTCAGTGCGTGAATCTCCGCACTACCGCCACCGACCATGTGGGGCAGCGTGCTGTAGACCTGAACTACCGAGTTGCCGTGGTTGGCGGGGACATGCGAAGAGGTGAGAGGCTGCTGGCTGGGTTGTCCTGCCGGCGGCGGGTGGGCCGGCGTCTGGCTCGGAGCAAGTGTGTGGCAGGGCTGCTGTTGAGGATGATGAGAATGATGGTGGTGGTGGTGGTGGTGCTGAAGATATGATACACCAGTTGTGTGCATGCTTGGGTTACTCTGGAAGACAAACCATGATGAAGTTCAAGTGATCCAGTTCCAGTTTAGTCAGATGGGACGGAAATTGACTGGTGGTGGTGTGTTACCTGTACGGGCGTTTGCATGGCGGTCATTGGCTGGTCAATGGAGGTGAACGCTGAGATGGCAGACATAAGAATGTCATCACTGACCAGCACGTTTCCTTGAACCAGCGTGTGTGTTAGAGGGGAGGGTGGAACTGTGATGTAGGTGGACACCTGCAGGACAGTCACAATGACACACAAGGAAGACATTTTTTTAAAATTTCCATGTGATAGAGTCCACAAATGGAGTACCTCCACCAAAAATGCAATTCTTCCAGAGTCAAATCTGTCAGAATAGAGTCATAGTGTGACAATCATAACAATTGTAGTTATGAGAAGTCGAAATGTAATGACAAAAAGTTAATTTAGTCACGTATACTCCATTTTATAACAAACAATGGTCTGATTTTCTTCTCACCTGCCTGTTGGCATTAGTTTGAGGTCCTGACGTGATGGAGGGAACCGGTGTGTAAGCATTGGTGGAGGCCAAAGACACAGTGGACAGGGAGGGGGCACTCGACTGGCACTGCTCCCGTTTGTGTGCCATGAAGGCCGGCAGGGAATTGAACTGCTTCTTACACTTCCCGCACAAGAACACATCTTCGTCATCTGTGGGGAAAAAACAAACATATACAGTGAGGCGGAGGAATTGTGTATACCAACATCTATCCATCCATTTCCTGTAGTGCTTTTCAGGGTCACAGTGGAGCTGGAGCCTCTCCCGACAGCACTGGGTGGCAGCCACTCGCAGAGCACATAAAGAAAAGGGACCATTCACATTAATTGAACTCAACTAGGATTTCTCCAACCTTTATTGATCAACGGCACATATTTTACATTAGAAAAAATTCACTACGCACCACCAAACAAAACTGTCCCTGAAAAAAAAAAAGTGGATGCACAGATTAACTGTACCTTCTGCCATCTCGTGACAGAACATTTAATTGTTCTTCCTGGCCAGTGACACAGATACAGAAACAAAGACACATTATTTGCGGTAAAGAAATACTAGTCCGTAAAATCTCGTAGGAACAATCTCGTGTTCCGTGTTGCACAGGCGGAGACTCATTGTTCTAAAGAAGGCAAATTCATTGGAATGCAGAGTGGCTGCTTCGTCATTCACGCACCCATAGACTGGATAGTTGGTGTGCCGGAGACGTTTTGGTTGTTTGGGTCAGGAACACCTCCTTGACCGTCCAGCAATGATTGGACCGCCAGTACTGTCTGATTGTCCATGCCTGGAGAGGAAAGTCAAATTTGGTGGTTGCATTGGATCCATTGGTGCATCATTTAAAAATACGTCTTGAGAATGACTGATTCACAAGCAGACATGACATGTAATTTTAAATCAAGCCCATCAACTGTGTTTATGCCTTCATACGTGCATCTTGCTTTGTTTATATTATACTACCTTACATATAATCCGATGACTACAACCATATATACATGATCATAAAACCCCGGGTGAAACTAAGTATACCTACAACACTTCACGTAATGTATCATTTATTGCTTAAAATATAATTTTGTGAAAGCGTCTCATCCAATGTTCAATTTAGGCATGAACTAGATTGTTTCATTTTTGCACTCGATTCTACGTGGTTTTGTGACGAAAACACTAGCCAAATATTAATTTCTGTTGCGTATAGTGCACGATGAAATTGTTCCGATAAATCACACAAACTTAATGTGGACAGCCAAGCCATTTAGGTTGTAATTAAATGGGTATTAATAAATTATTCTTACCTTCAAGTACCTCAAATATAGCCTGCGCCATTTTGCGGTTCTTCAACTGCGTGATCGGCATTTGACTAGCAGAGTCTGCTGAATTGGAAGCGCTGCCACAGCTGTCAATGTGGAGCAAAACACTCGAACTAATGCCGTGGACAAGCGTGTGACTTTTGGAACGTTAATTACAATAACGACCTAATAATACCGGAAACATTCTCGGAACAGAAACACTTCCATTTACAAATTTCATGTTCGAAAATGAAACCAGAAAATATCACAGAAAAGGCTTAAATGTTTCCAAAAAAACTTTAGACATGTGGTATTTAAAATAAATACGATAATGTTATTTACGATAGTCAAACTAAATATATAATGCCACTGTGTGACATTAAAATGCATCTTGTATCGACAAATCTGCGATCGATAAAATGACTGACAACAAAATCCACCAATCAGATGGCGCTTAACTCGTCTCACTGAGGACTCAGTTTCTCGACCAATGAAAGGATCCAGGCTGGCACACGTGTCGGTTTCGCGGCAAAAAAGATTTCGCGCGAAAAGTGCCCCATCCTTGTTTGGACCTGGATCAGCTGGGACAATAACAACAATTACGGACTACAACAGGGCAGCGGAGATCTTTTTAGAAATGGACTGCACCCGCCC